TTAGGGCCATCGTATAGTTCCGACTGTGCTGCACTTAGCCGGATGCAGCGCTGCACTTATCTGAATGCAGATCAGATTAGCATGAGCACATATTCCAAAGTAAAAGCGACCACTGTTCATAGGCTCGATGCGAGACCACTTCTTGTTAACCGGATCGTAACACTCCGCGTTTTTCAAACTATTACCGCAATAGCCTCCCACTGAATACATCGTATCGTTTAAAGAGATTACGGAATTAGCCAATCTACAATCTAACATATCTGAGATAGGAGACGTTTTGTTGTTGGTTGGATAGTAGACTTTGCACATACGATGCACTGCCGCAGTCTTTATATGTTTACCACCAGCGAACACAACATGAAACTTGCCTGAATGCAGCGCTGCACTTAGCAACTGTGCTGCACCTAGCTGGATGCACTTAGCGACTGCGAAGGGAAATTTCATTTTTCCAATTGTTTTTGTTTTTATTCCAAAGATGTTGGGTATAGAAGATTCAGTCACAGCCGAATACGATTTTCTTACTACTTTTAGCTAAAGGCGGCGAGTATAAAAGAGATTTTCTTAATAGTTGCAATTTACATTTGAATAAATTTATTAATTCGTTAATTTTTTAATTTTTTTTTCAGCATTAATGTTTATATTGAAAATTAATTAATAATTAATGGTTTAATAATAATTTGAATATTTTCCTTTTCGCCCGCTTCACGATAAATATCTGTTAAGTAATTGATTGGATAATCTGAAAAGATAAACAAATGCCCATAGATTCGCTTCAAAATTAAAAAAAAAAAACATTCACTTTTTCATGGGAATCTAGCCACGTCCAAGTTATAGCTCCGAAACGGGGATCAATGGGGAACAATGGAGATATCTTACGTAACCACAATATTGTGAGTTTAGCAGGTTATATTTTTATTGTTGCAAACATCTCGTACAGAAAGTTAGTTACTAACCGGTGTTTTATGCTAGCGTTAGTTATAGAATTTACTTTTAAGTAGTCATGACTCGCTTCGTCAGCATGAAACATCACAATATATCTTTACGGGCATAAAGAAAGATGAAAGGCGTAAGACATAAACTTCTAACCATCGAACAGCCTTCCAGCTCAAGTAATTTCCGCTCTGTCTTCTTGTCTTCTTAACCGAAAACGATTTCATTCAGAACAAAGTTCAACTTCAACTTTTAGATAATTCCTTGAGCAGGTGTACAAGTCAACGATTTAATCGCTAAGGTGTCAGCGTTTCTGCTAAAGTACAACCAACGGAAATCATACTTTATGTATTCATTAGTTTACTTGAATGATCCCAGCAAAATGATTCCTATGGCGATCCCTATACCAATCATTTGAAGCATTCTGTAGAAATAATAAAAAAATTTAAATTTTTGCATTCGACGGTGGGTATGTTGATTGCTTCGAGCAGTGTACCAGCAGCTCAATTCAGATTATTTGAGCATTCAATTTCTGAGCGACTATATTCGATGTAAACATTTTTTACATTACAATCAGTTAAACGTATTTAGTTATCGGAAAAACAGTAACAAAATATGGATTTTTTTAAAGGGAATTAATTTTTTTTTTTCACTTCTTCTTTTCTTCTCTTTTCTTTTCGTAAACTAAAAAAAAAATTAAAGAGACGATCACGTCGAACGCGAATCGAAGAATGCATGCATGCATTGCCTACGCACTGCTAATACATTCTTCTGCAAAGTTTTTATACAATCAAATCGTGTTGATAAATATAAGAGTAATAATAATAATAAATCTAAGAAAATCGAACCTGATAATATCAATCTCATTGCCCGGAGGACGTCGCGGCCCGTCATCTATGACTCGCAGCTCGTGATATCTTCCTGCAAGCCGTTGCTGCCGAATATCAATGGGACGTGGTGGTGGTGGGCGATATGGATGCCTATAAAACTAAATTTACAAATTGACAACTTAAAAATGACGTCAGCACCTCGTATCCTTCGCTATACGTAACATAGTACAACTACCTCAGAACATCAAATAAAAGAATCCTATTCCTAATCCCCACATTTTTATTTTGTAAAGATTTTTATTTTTATGAATACCTGATATCGTTCACTATACGTCTCCACTAATATGAGCATGTATGGGGTCTTCGAGCAGGACCCCACACATGCTCCCCCAGAGGCCGTTTTCAACATATTTACTTTCTTAAATTACCGATGAGTGTTTGGAGACACAACAAGCGGCCGAACAAAACTAGCATGCCCAATATCTTGGGTAAGGAAATGCAAACAAAATAATGGATATCCTAGATTTGGTCAAAGCTCTTGATATATTTTTTATCCTAATCTATTAGTCAGCTCTGTAAAATGGTAAGTAACAATAGATAGTTTTTGGAAAAGGCTTCCGTTAACCCTTGCTATGCATTTGAGAATTACTAACGTTTAATTCGAATTATATTACTTACTTCACCTTCTACTGATCTCGATCTGTAATAGGATTCGTACGGATCTGCTGCACCCATTTTAGACTCAGAATAGGCTCTTGGCCTCGGCTTGAGAAAAAAATCGTTAAAGCTTTCCACCTAAACGCTATTATTATAGTAAATAAAGTTTCTACATACGGGGCCCTGATATGGCCTCAGATCCGATGGAAGAGTCTGCTTTGTTTTCGAATCGGGAGGTTGCTTAGAACTAGAAGTAGCCAAACGTTCTAGTGATCTCGATCTAGGCGGTGGGATACCTCCACCTCCGGCACCTGCACCGGCCATCGGGTCAGAATAAGTCCTTTGTTTCTGTTTAGTAAAACGCATTAAAATCTTGCGATATCGTATGGTAGGAGTTTTTATCATTAACTTACATCCATCTATACTTTTCCCTCTCACTCTTAGTCTATTCCTTTAACAATAAAGGGACTTTTTACCACAAAAAGTTTCAATCACCTTACTCTACGCCAACAACTTAATTTTAAACTTAATTACAAGATGTTAAGTTTATATTGGAAAAATTTGCAATTATATTAAACACATAACTTTGAAAATTTTGTATAATTTTGAGAGAAAATTTAGATTTTTTTTCGAATTTTTACAAAAAAATTTGATTCAAAGAAAAACAAAAGAATTTATTTGAAATTCAACAATAAAACGTCATAATTAATCATAAATGATCGCATACCTGCCAGATTGTTAATATCAGAAATGGCTTTGTTCACCGCTAACTAATTTTTAAAAACAAAATCAATTTGTGTGTTTAGTGCACGGAAATGTGATGCATGAGTTTATAAGGATCTCGATTTCCTAGTCAGTGATAGTAAAACGAAGGTTATATCTCTTGGAATTCCCAAGGTCAGAGTTGCATGGAGATTAGGTTTATTTAGCCCAAATTCACAGAAACTTTCCGAATTTGATGATTGTACAACTAAACTAAGTAATCTATATCTCTCTCTTATCTGTACTATAACCCTGTACTCAAACAGGTTTGTCTACTTTCGCAGAGTCTTACCACAAAGACCAATGTTACCCTACACCACTTGTGAGACAGATTGTGTTAAGTTTGTGCAGACACATACGTCTGGTGTAGGGTATGTTAAATTAATACCAACATATGTAACATGCAGAAGAAGGTCTTAATATAGACGCACCTTTTATTACGCCGATGGATTCCGAATCACTTTTTGAATTGATCTAAGCCTGTCTGTCCGTCTGATATCTGCCCATGTATTCTTGCGTTCAAGTTGCAGATGGAATTTTCCGAATATTTTGATGAAATTTGATATACTTTTTTAACCACTCCCCAAGTAACGCCCTATTCTGAAAAGTCATTATACGGGAAACTATTGCAATTTTCAAAATTTCTCAGCAAATGTGACTAAGTAACAGTACCTTTGCATTCTAAATTGGTTTGAAAAGTTTCGACCAACCGGGTCAATTTTTTGAACCCCTCTCTTATAACCGTTCGTGCGGAAATTAAAGCTTTATATGGTAAAAAGGTCGAGATTCCAATATTTCACATATCATATAAAAATTACTCGTTAGTTATAATGATTGTTGTCGCATTACTTCTATTGTTGTAGTAAGCACTTTTTATATAATTATTTTGTGAATAAATCTTTGTTTAATAAATATGCAAAAATTATATGTGTTTATTCCACAATTATACGTTAAGACCTTAGCTTACGAGATAACAAACGGTTTACTTTGTTAACTTCTAAATACACATTATTAAGTACCGCTCTAATATTTCATTGCGAAGTAATGAGTGGAATTTTAGTTCAGATATTTTAAAAAAAATGTTTTTAAATTAAATTAATACATACAAGACATTTAAGATATACGTTAATGTTTCATTTGTTTTTATTGCTTTTTATTCTCTCCTCTGTTGGCAAAAGAAATTATAATAAAAATTCAAAAGCCAAAAAATTACACAACTAAAGAAATGAAATAATAGTCGTTAATTATAAAGACGCTAATCAACATGGTGACGGCGATCGTTAATATAACGGTATTATTTTTAACATTCGCATTATTATGTAGTGGCAATATAACCACTTATCAAGAAACTACCAATAACAATTTACGCACCACATCTCAATTTATAAAAGAAAATTGCATTTGCTTAACGCCATGGCGATGTGAATGTTGCGCAAAATTGGATAATAATTTATTAAATATTCATCAGAAAAGTAAGTTTCGATTAAAACAAGTTCCATTTAATTAAGTAAATTATTCGACAAGTTTTGTTGAACAGTATGCGCTGATTGGATAATTTCGACAAAATCTTGGGATATACGTGCTAATGTTCGTTTAAATGGGAATACGTTATATACGAACACATTTTTCGCCGCGAATATACCAGCATTTTGTGTACCCATTTGGCCAGCACTGGCCTTAACGGGATGTCTGCAAATTCATAGCATCGATCATCACGATTACAACACATTACATGGCTGTGCAAATGCTACTCTAAATTTTATTAACTTGAAATTGATCGATTGGCCTATCGGTTGTATGGACATTGGTATCGATGGTGTACAATTTGTTGACGCAGATCATAATGTATTTAATACAACCCAGAAACCACCGGAAATTGAATTGGAAACGAGTGATTTATTGGAACAACAGACACCAACAAAAACTACAGTAACCGTTGATACGAATGAAAAGTTTTAAAATCAAAGCAATTTAAATATTAAACAAGTAAGAACACTATAGTCGGCCAATGTCGACTATCAAATACCCTATACCACTTCGCCTACTACAGTTACTCGCTTGTTTTTGTATGAAATTACTGCTATGGGTCAATTTCCATTACCACATATTAAAATTTAAATCAATTTTCCTGAAAATTCTTATTAGGGTAGGATGCAAACAATAGACCGAGATGGTTCAAATTTAGTATACTTCATTTTTTTTATGTTCGATTAGTGTTATCATATAATTTTCATCATGAAGCATTAAAAATTATACCCTTTTGTTGTATGAACTTCAGTTTTCGTTATATGAGAGGAGATTCCTCAAAAACAGCTCCAACCCGTCCAAAGTTTTGACACCCATTTAGAATACCGAAATGCTCCAACTTAGGCAATTCTTTTCATATAACGACTTTTTAAATAGGGTGCTAGGTTAGGGAGTGGTCGAAAAATTGGTCCGATACAAATCATTTTCAATAGCGTTTGTCCTTGTACCAAATTTCATCACAATATCGCAAAAATTGCCAAATGCTTGAACACAAACTTACATGGACAGACATCAGGCTTCGATCAATTCGGATTATGATCGGTATAATAAAAAGTTGACCTGTCTTAAGCTCTTCGGCGTGTTACATACGTCCGCATTAACTTAATATATCCTGTACCAGAAGTAGTGTAGGATATAAAAATGGAAAAATCTTGGCCAGAGAATCATTTACTTTCAACTTTTAAGAGATAAACTTAAGTTATTGCGTGCTTGTAATAAATCTGAAACAATTGGATTGAATATAAAAATTTAAGGGCATTTGGTAACTCCCACGATCAAAGCATAAAAACACATTAAAAATTTTCTTTCCTTCTTGTTTGTAATAACCACAATGCAGGTTGACCCAATTAGGGACATCAGTCTCTGTGTTTTAAATAATGCCACATTCAGAAGTTGAATGTTTAAAAAAATTATGTAAAAATGATCTTTGAGGGCTCACGTCACCATCCTTCATTCACAACAATCAGATAATTTTTAACCTTCACAAGGTTGTGAATATATTTGCATGTCAATATGCAAATTAATTTTATGTAAATTTTCCTATTTCGTGATATCATACCGCAAGCAAATAATAAGAATGATCAATAAAGCTATCTGCGCCATATTTCATATGCAATGAAAGACAATACTACCTTAATTTCAAGTGATAAATATAAACGTAATATTTTACTGTAATAAAAGATATAATAATATATATAAGTAAGATAACGAATGTCAAACACTTATCATATACATTTTATCCTATATCGCACAGCTTTAATCATATCATTCTCGTCTTGTAGTCCTTGAGTAGTGGATCGCATCCTATATTAAGATCATTTTTCGTTCTACGCATTCAAATATCAACAAAAAAGAAAGTTACATTTAGGGCGGGCCAAACCTGGGATACCCAACACATAAGCCCATGGTCCATTTAAGATTTCAATATCCAAGAAATCGGTTTTTTTCCGAACGGCTCAAGACCTTATGTCTTAAACTTAAGTAAATTAGTAACACACTTTACCGCATTCTTCTCCCCAACTCCTTTTATTTGATACCTACATCGAAGGTAGTTTTACATTTATCGACTAAGTCGCGACGTCCACCACAATTAATTTCGAATGAATACACTTAGCATCTCGCATTCCACTCTGCAAGGTCTTTTATTTAATACCCTTATCGCAGGCATTATTAAGAAAAAATGAATCCACCAAATCGAGGTAGCTACCATATTCATTTTAGAATTAACCCATGTTTAGGCAGATAATATATCTTCATTTGAGGAATGTACGAAATAGTTTTAAGCATTCTGTCTTGATTGCCGTATGGTAAATAAACAAAGTCTCAAAAAAGTGAAAAATATGAAATTTAATCACTTGTAACCTTATGTGGACATGGCCGATTTTTTCCATTTTTGCACGTAAAGAGTAGAGTGCTGTTAAGTAAAGTAAATGTGGAAAATTTCCGCCTTCTAATTTTTATAATTGCTGAGTAACGAGGAAAAACCCACAAACCTTTGATAAGAAAAACACAGTCGTGTTCGGTTTATGCTCAACTGCGGGCTTCTGCTGGACCATTTTCAATACCAACCTGCTTGCAAGAACTTCCACTGTTTCTGCCAAATTTGAAGTCGAGAGCTTAATTTTTGTGGCTAAGAGACATTACACAGACGGACAGATGGACATGCTTAAATCGATTTAGAATTTAATACTGATAAAGAATATATGTATACTTTGTGGGGTCTCTGGGCGTTGCACAACGTTTTGACAAAATGAATAAATTCTTCATCCTTTGGTAATGAAAAATTCTGAAAAGAAAAGCCTTAGGCAATTGACCTGAAAGGCGTCTTATAAATAAATCTTCAAAACCATATTAAAAATTGCCGTTCATTTTATAAACTCAATAAGCGAGAGAGATTCAATGTAATTTTTGAATAAACGATCGCCATCTGAATACTATCGGGAGATAACATCATATAACAAAATTTATTGATTTTTCATGCTAAAAATAATTGAATTTTATTAATTACTATAAATAAAGTAAATAATATAAATAAATTTAAAAAAATAAAATACTAACATTCTATACAAATAGAGTAGAATATAAAAAAAATATTTCGAATTATGTCTTAATACTCAAGAAAATTTTTAATACAAATCAATCGGAAAAATGTTGCACAATAACTACTACTACTACCGTAAAAGTGAAAAATGCAATTAAAAAAATATAGAGTGATGTAGATGTTGAAAAGCAATGATAAACATTTTTTATCTTATATAAGCTCTGCTTAAGTCATTATTATTATTATTATTATTTCCCATGTGTTAAAAATACTTGTTATAGATAAGTAATTATTTATAAACATTGAACAAAGCTTTTGAATTGAAATTTAAGCTTGCAAAAGGTATCTTCATATGAATACATATGAAAATGTCCCAAATGCTATTTAATATAGTTAGAAAGCTTATAAATATATAGTTTGTTTTTTTAAAAATTGAACTAATGCCTACAAGCCTGATAATATTTGTTTATACGGATCGATCGATCGATCGATCGATCGTTCGTTTGTTTTTCCAATTGAATTAAAAGTTTAATTATATAAATCATTCGCATCGAAACATGTTACACAAGAATTCGTTCTTATAAAGAATTTCATTATTAAATTTGGTTTCATTTTCCTTTTTTTTCTTTTTCTTCTTTTTCTTCCTTTTTAATTACAAGTCAAATTAAAATCGTTAAATGTTTTCGTTTTTGTTTTTTTTTTTTTTTCAATATAGTTATTTTAATTTTAGAACTAATTAATCTGCTATGGCCGTGTAAGGTAAGCTACTGTGTTTGGGTTTAGTTTTATTTATAAAAACTTTAATAGCACCATTGAAGTCGGCACTAATCATAACATAGCCACAACCTTTTTTGTGTTGCTCCACCAAGGGATCAGGTTGATTATTAGTTTGCTTCATTTGAAAAATCAAAGAAAAAATAAATTATAATTATAATCAAATGCATGGTACATGGAGAGAGAGAGAGAGAGACAGAGAGAGAGAGATAGCTAAGGTATTTACTTTTTCATTAGAAATTTCATCAGGTTCTGGTTTTATAATGGCTTCCGGATGTGGAGCAAATATAGCACACGTAACTGTTGCATTATGGGCTTTAATACCTTCCCAAAAATCACTACGATCCCTTCGAACCTGTATGCATATGTGTTTTTTTTTGTTTTTATCACGATTTACTCATATATGAAGAGAAATCAAATCTTTCAAAATTCTTATTACTTACGGAACTTAATTTTGAATAGTCATGATTGGTTTTCCATATGTAAATACATTGATTTTCCGAACCGGCTATTATGTACTTGCCGTCATGACTAAATGAGGCTTTAATTTGCGAGGAGATGTTTATATAGCCTTTATATTTGCATGACAAATTTAAATCACGCAAATCATAGAGTCGCACCCGACTGTCATTTGAAGTAACCAATATCTTATCTTCTCCAGGCATTGGCTCAATGCCACTGATTTTTCGGCCAATACGATTTTTTCCACGAGTTGAACGCACATGAATTTGTGTATGATATTTCAGTTGATCCGTGTTGTAAAAAATACAGCGACCATCGTACGAGCCGACCACTGCGAATTCGCCATTTTGGCAAAAATTCGCTGCAGTTATGAGTTTCGTTTTCCCATCCACTTCATTCCAGACGGCGACCTTTTTGTCAGGAATATTCCAAAGCCGCAATTTGCCATCTAAACTACCGCTTAAAAAGTAACGATCGTCGCGTGGATGAAACGCAATTGCGGTAACAAAATCAATATGCTGAAAACAGCAGAGACATTCTTTGCGAGTAATATGCCATAATCGAACTGTTTTATCCATTGAACTGGATAAGATAAAGTAATTTTTCGACCATGAGACATCAAGCAAATCGGACGTATGTCCCATGTAGGTACAGAATGACTTGGGCATGAATGGACCAGTGCATTGTTCGGCAGCCGTCGCCATCGCAATAGCTTCCTCAGCCGAATGTTGAGACACTAAGGACTCTTGCGACGGTGTAGGTGATGATTTCTGATCAGCATTATACTTATTTCTTAAATCCTGGCAATTAACGATAGGATAGGGTTAGTAAACTATATATTTTATATTTCGATATTCACCTGGAAAAACGGATAGGCATCTTTAAGGACCCAGACGCGTAATACTTTATCTTGACCAGCAGTGGCTAACAAACGGCCACATGAACTGAATTTCATACACCATACAGCACCGGTATGCTCTCCAGATAAATCCTTCATAATTATAAAGACCTCTTGGTATGAACATCATAGGAGCGAATTAAAATTTTGAAGCTCACCTGAACATGCTGCAACTTGGTAAATTCATACGGACCCTTATTCGTTGAGGAGGCTTTTATTTTTATATTCTGCTCAGGATTCATGACGTCTACAATATCAGCAACATCTTCTTTATGGCGGGCATGAGATACTTCGGATGCAAAAGACCTAGCCTTGTCAACTGTTCTTCGCACTGTCGAACCAAAGAAACGCTTAATTTTCGCCGTCTTCTTTTTCAGACGGCTACCATCCTCGGTTTCACCTTCCTCTTCATCTTGCTGTTGACTCTCATTGCTAGGCGGTATGCCTATAACACTTTCGTCATCGGACTCTTTTTGTATAACTTCAAGATGCGAGGTAAGCTTCAATATGTGCAATGAGAGAGGATTCCATCCCTCGGGCACGGGCGGCGGACGCACTTCAGATAATGGCATATTTTCACCAGTGTCAAGATTTTTAACCGGTACTTGCTCGAGTATCTCGAAATCAGATAATTGCTTACCAGAATTCGTACGCGTTCGTACGTATATATTCATTTGTTTTAGAACATCCTCATCTCCAGCTGATTTGCGCCGTTCCTTATCGTTACCTGAACGATAGATCAACGAAGGATATCTAAAATACATATATATATGTATACATGTTTTTTATTGAAAAAACAAGTTTTTTTTTTTTTTAAACCCAGTCAGTTTTTCAACTAATACTTTTTGGTTATGGGATACTCTAAATGAACTTTAGTAGCAAATATCTTAAAAAATATTTTTTGCGAAAATACGAGAGCAGTTATGCATTTACACATTACGACGTTTCTTAAGAAGACAAATCACATAAATCCGTGCACATTAATTTCAATTTGATTACAAAAGCAACTGACCATGAAGAGTGAAACTTTACTCATAATTATGATGGAATGATTATTAATATAGCCGCACCTAATCACTTGCTAAGAGTCATTTTATGATATACAAATGAATCAACTTTTTTTCAAATTGAAATATCTGCAGATGATATCTCATTGAGAAATGCTTAAATGGTCCTCGCAGCGCAGGTTATCGCAAAATGGCGATTCCACACCTATACGGTAAATCGTATTAAAAAATCGTTCAACTCATAATTGATTTATGTTCAAAATCGTAAATGATATTCATTACTTCCAATGCGAAAATACATGATAACACCAAGGTTCTACTAGCTATGCAGTATTGAAAATTATTAAAAACGTTTATATAACGAACTTGATATGTAAACTCCAAGGGCCCCTCAGTGTGTGTTTATTTAATTTGTAAACAACGAATATATCAAAAAGATGGCTGCAAAGAAATATTTAATCACTAAAGTTCATTTAAGTTTTAATTAATGTTAAGAATAATAACAAACGATAATAGATATATTGTACCTCGTGGTACTGCCCAAGCTATTTGAACCCGTGCCGGCTAGTTTGGGACGCTGAATATTATCGTTTAATATACGTTCGATACGTTCAATCTCTTCTTGAGTAGGTCCTTCAGCTTTATTACACTCCTCATCTCGGGGTTTAACTACATATCCGCCTTGAATGGCTTTATAAAGATTTAAACCTTGCGTGGGATCAATCGAGCTATTAAGGTCCAACGGAACAAAGCGAAAAATATTACATAAAAATTGCTAAACTTAAATATCATTTACCTGACACGGCCAGGTGCAGAATTACTTTTAGCCGAATTAGTGGGACTTGCTTTAGAATATACTGATATAGAACTATTACCCAAAGAATGGGAGATGCGATTAATTGATCCCCCTAAAGCGGCCGTCGTCACGGGTCGAGTATTACAGGTCAATGTTTGACTATGAGATGCTGTTGACGACGAAGGAGCCATCAAACTGTTAGAAGCATTCAAAGGCGTATTAGACGAAGCATTAGCATTAAATCCGCTAACACCCAATATAGTCGAATTAAAGAATCCGCCAGTACAAGGAACTATCTCATTACGTTTATTTGTCAATGAAGCAGTTTCTGCCCAACTGTTTTCTATATCCTTCACCAGATCCTCACGTAATTTCTGCTGCACATCCCGTACACTTTTCACCGACCTCGTATCGCTGTCCGTGTCTGTGTCAACTGCCGGCAAACGCATACCTTCATTTAAATTAAATTGTTCCGAAGAACTGGAGGAAAATTTTCTACATTTTTTCTTACGTCTAGGTGGTGCTATTGGTCCGCTTGACGTTATAGAATCGGTAGTTTTCGAATGTGCCAATTTTGTGCTCGCTATAACATCTGGTTCTTGAAGGACGACTTTGTTTTCTGTAGACAAAGCAGGAACTTGTGTTGTGTTCGAACCAAGCTGAGGTTGTTTAAACGAAATTTCCAACGATAATGGGATGCGATTAACACCAATATCGTTTGGATTGGACTGGGTACCAGCGTGTTTTAAAGTACTCGTTTCTGTTATTCCTCCACTGCCAACATTTGAGTTATTTAGTTGTTGTTGATATTGTTGAAGCTGTTGTTGTTGTTGTTGCAATTGTTGAAATGATTGTGGTTGCTGGCCACTCTCAGCAATAGTACTGCTGGCAAGGAATTCCCGGTCAATGCTAATGCCTGACGGATCTATACTACCAGCCAAAATCCGGCCTACACGCCCCAAAGAAGACATGCTTTGTAAACTTATTGAATCATTTTCAATCACCTTGAAAGGATGGGTAGGACGATTGGTAAACATGCCATCAGTTGAACTATTCTATATAGAAAATTAAATGAAAATTAAAGATTTTAGTAGTCAAGCCAGGGAAAAAATAATATTTATAGGCTTTATTATCCTATTTACATTACATATATTGAAATGTAATACCTGAGAGTCCGGCGTTAGTGTGTTCCCAGGAATATCATCTTCATCATTTTGCATACACTGGCGAAGTTCATGAAATCGATGTCTACCATACTATACATAGATGTATTTTGTTGTTTGTTATAAAGAAACGTAGGAGATAAGTAAAAACTTGTAATAGCAGTTGAAACACAAAAATATAAATTATAGAGAGAGAGTGTTTAAATTAAAATTTGATCCTTCATTTATCAACTACCTAGCTAATGAAAAATAATTTGCTTCAATTGCTAATTGTTTGCTTTTAATAATTTAGACTGCATTCGTCTAAATTATTAAAAGCAAACAATTAGCAGTCTGACTTTTCACTTTATATATTTTAAAATATATATTTACGAAAAAGGTAAAGTGTATTAACGAACAGTCCCATACATTATATAAGTTAAAAAGCCTAATCACATTCCCTAAGTAGGATTATTTCTCTTACGGTGCTTTGCATGGGCTTCGGTTCAATAAAGCAATCTTGTTTGGCACATCGAGCACTAAGACTGCTTGTAGGACTACTAGTTGCGGGTGTGCCCGTTCCAATGGGTGTGGCATCGCTATCGGAAGAGGCATTAATTTTTACAGCTGGCTCGGGAAAAATATAATCCTGAGTTTCTTGGATAGAAGACGTTAAAGTTTTACGACTAAAAATAGATGAAAAGATTTTTCATTATTAATCAGCGATAATTCTCTCATAAAAAGCTGAAAGAACTGTCAGATATGAAAAATATGTGTACTCGTGAGTGAACACAAACACACCGTAAGCATATATAAATTTGTACTATGCCTTTTGAAATGCATTGTTTAATTATTCTATGTTGTTTTACCTTAAGGTTGATAGGCGATTTGGCGTCGAATCTTCCGCATCGAAATACTCTTCCGAGCTGTCTGAATCCGTTTCGGGCTTACTCATATTGCATTTAACGATTTCAACGAATCTTGTTACCGTTTAATATTATCCAAAAATATATTTTTTCACTGCTCTTCCTCTTTTCTTTTTTACGTCATTCTATGTTTCGTATCCATTTGTATAGATATGGTTTGGAAGAATTCCAGTTTTTATTAGTAAAATTTAGCTCATAATGTTAAAAAATATTTCAAAATTTTTACGTAATTTTAATAACAACGAGGCGACAATTTTTCCTAAATTTTTCGCAAAACAAATATGTTTATTCCGAATGAAAACGAAAGCAGTTCTTCTTTTTTTAGGTTATTCAATCACAAATTATAATAACTCGACATTTTATTGCCACATTATTGTTTTTCAAAATTACTCCCATTGGTACAACGTTGCCTGATAAACAAAACAATAAATAGTTTTTTTACCAAACAGGTGCAGCGTATCGAAACAAAATGCTTTATGACCATTTTTTGCGAATCAATATATTGTAATAACATAATGATGAAAGATTAACACCCTGCAAGGTTATAAATTTTGCAAATTTGTAAATAGTTTAAGAGTAAATTATTCATAAAAAACTTATTTTTAATAATCTCTTGCACAGTGTTTCATTTCCATTGGATTTTTCATATAAATTGTTCTTGCCCTTTCTAAGGTATGATAGGTTATCTTCGATTATCAGTTTGCTGAATAGCAAAAGAAGAAGAAGATCAAGAACAGATAATACCTTGTTTTACAACTTTGATAAGTTTTATTAAATGGAACCGAATTTTGCAAGCAAAGCTAAGGAGTGATATTGGTAATTCATTTCAAATGGGTTCGTATGAGTCAGTGTTCGATACTACAGAGCAACCTCAGCCGTTAACAATTGAGAAATTGTTTGCGTTTCTTCAGGAACATTTTCATGAATATCATGAGCCAAATAATTTGTACTCAGTTTTGCCCATTATTTATCGGTGTCTCCAACGAAATAAAAATGATACGAAAGGAACCATTGATGTTGGTGGACCTTTATTAGAATTATTAAGGCAACGTAAGGATAACGAAGATGATTTTGAAATTGCAATACAAATTACGTACCAAGTGCTTTGTACTATATTTGAATTAGACACTCAGGTGTTTAAGCTTAATGGGGAGGTAATTGGTTCACGCTTTTCTTTACTTTTCCTTTTCATAAATATATAAAAACCTTAGATGATTCTCTTTCTCACCGAACTAACGCCAACAATCCAAAGGAAGCAACTAATAACAAAAACTGTGCTTTGTATTCAATATTATTTGAAAAATTTTGACGAAGACTACCTGATAGTAAAAGAAGTTTGGAACATTGTGAAACAGCGTGCATCAGCATCAATGATATTAATAATTGCGGACTTTGAAATTTTAGTACAAATGATAGATTTGTTAAGGGAGTCTGAACATGATATTTTTAATGGACCATATTTTTTGGCCACTACGAAGCATTTACTCAATTCAGACGATCGATTCGAACGAAAATGTGGTCGCTGGTTATTAAAGAGATCCGTACATTGGCTTACGAATCAAATCTCTGTGGCTTGGATGCCCAAGGTAAATGAAAGCGTAGAAATATCTTGGTTGATATATATGACAATACTGGAAAGTCTTGAGGAGGAGCAAACACATTTAATATTGCCATCGTTGCATAACTTAAATGAACTGCGTAATTCAGGAACGATTCAAGATGATTGGCTAGAAATACTATACTCGCGACTACTTAAGCACAGCAATGTTTTGGTGAAACGCTGGGCAATAGAGTATTTTATGTCAATATTCACTAGTAATGATTTGAGCACAGAAGTATTGAAGCAGGTATTAATTATTTTAAGTTTTTCCTGTTTTAGCGGCAAATTATCACCCGGAATATTTACAATCTCTTTCAGGTGCTGGAGATATCAAACTCGAATTATTTTTATAATCGTGAAAATTATTTTCTACATTGCGACCATTTTGCTCATTTTCTTAGCAAGATATCACAGCTGTTTTATACTTTATTTGGTGACATCAATTGGCAGTCGGTGCCAATGTATACGTGGCTGAAATGCCTTAATGATCAGACAAAAATGAATAATGCTGAGCCGACTTACGAAAGCTTGATTCAAATAGCGTCAAGAGTAAGAGCTTTACGAAATTATAATATACGCGAGAAGGCTATAGATATGATGAACAAATGTTTTGCGAACGAGTTGGAAAAGATGTCATTGAAAAAATATATAAATTTTGTGGAAGCATTATATAATCCCACAGACATTTTTTCACAATATGATTTACTATTTAATAAGCCACTCGACGCTGACCTTTGGGAACCGGAGACGTCTTTCTCAGAACGTCTTCTTCTGATTTTATGCAGCAATGTGAAGGAACTCGAAACAGCATTATTTTCTTTATTAAAGTTTTTACAAGCCATCCCAAAGGAACAACATGGATTTTTGAGTTTCATTTCCTTTTATATTAAAGATGCCAGTAAACATACTCACATTTTCTTGGAACTATATGATTTAAATCTAGAAACACTAGACACTTCCGATCTCTCTCATGTTATTGATGATTTTACAAAAAAGTTGGTTTGGGACACGAGCAATGAACGGCAAAGAGTACAAGCATTTTATGCGGCTGTCACCTACTACTTGAATCATTTTCCAAAAGAAGCCTGCGTTAAATTTGAGAAAACATCTGCGATAGTACTTAACTCTTCTGATTTACCGCCTTGTACTTTAAGTTTATTTTCCACACTCATAAATAGTGCAGTCCACGTGAACAGATGGATTATCGATCAATTAATTGATCAATTACAAACAGTAAAAGGCGAATGCATTATTCAGAAAATGTAAGCGTTTCGTTTTACTTGCACATTTAATTAATTTGATGATTTTAGATTTTGGGAAATTATGGTTTACATTAACAAGAATAACGATAAAGGAATATTGGAAATTTATGGAGAAAAACTGATAGCGAACTATCCAAAATGCCACCTTTTATATATGTCTTCTATTCAGATGTCTAACCTTTTAAAAATGTTTGATAAAAATCTATTGCTCAGCGGAAACTTTGTAAATGGTGACCCCAGGTATGTAAAAAGAAAGTTCCTTTATCGCCTTTATTAGGCTAGTTTTTTATACGAATCGGATCGAATAGCGAGTTTCCGATTTAGTAAAAGTGAAAAATTATCATCCAAAACTCCATCAAGTAGTACATGTTAAGCATCGGTGTAATATTTCTATTCGATATAATTCTGATGATTCGTAGAAAGTCTTCTTAATTGATGATTCAAAATTATATACGAATACAAATTTTTTTTTTGTTTTTCAAGAAAATAAATATCTTTTTATTTGTTTTTAAACAAAATCAATTTCTTTTTAGAATTGAAGCGGTTTTTCAATATTACGAGTTCGGGAACCAGCCTGACGAAGCTATTCTCAGATTTTTGTGGTTGGTTGCTTTAAATGCACATGGCGATAAATCATATATTAAGTTTTTGTTAGATTGTCACAAAGAATGTACGAAGAAGAAACCTCGATATTACGAGCATTCTCGTGAACATCGATCAAAATTTCGCATCGCTTGTGGTATTTATATTTTATACGAAAAGCTAAAAGGAGACGACAATATTCTAGATGAGATTTGGAAAATTTTACTCAACGAAAATAATCAACCTGACGTAGCATTCATTTATGAACACATTGTCGGCTATTTTGAACAACGATTTGAGATCTTATTAGCTTATCTTCAAAAGGTATAGAATAGTAATTGGATGCAATCAAATAATTATTAGGTGTGGCGATTAATATTGCGGATTTTGGTTTAATAATAGCATTGAGCAATAGTGATGATAAAGATATTTGATCTAAAAATCGGCCGTATTTGAGTTGTATAAAATCACAAGCTTTGAAAAATTATTGAAAGAAAAGTTACCCTAAACTTTGCTGAATTTGCTTAAATGGTCGTCACAAAGCCTGAAAATCAGAGATTTTATTTGGATAAATCATCAAAGTGAACATAAGACGAAATTGCTTTGGAAGGAAAATGGTGATCAAGTTAATACTATTGCTGTTCGTTATAAGAACAGAAATGAAGAATGATTCAATAAGCAAAAGATTGCGTGTCCGAATAATTTGTTAAAATAGTAAAAAAAAAAAAAAAAAATACTCGGAGAGCATGTATGTCCACACCGATGAAGATTATAAAATATAAAACACTTTCAAGTTGAAGATATCTAATGTATTCGAATACAGAGTCCGCATTATTAATCCTTTCAAATTTTTTTCTTTTATATAACAAAAGCAAATTTTAAAATAACTAAAATTTTTGTTAATTGTTAATATGATATGTGTAGATGCCAGCTTTAACTGCAAGTCAGCAAATTACAGTTGCGGTTATAACCAATCACTTTTGCTTAAGAGACGAATTGTTGCAATTGGAGCAATTAAAGGAAATAATACAAAATTTATTACCTTTCGTTATGGGATCGAATTTTCAAACTCGACTTTATTGCCAATTAATTTTATGGAATATAATGACGAAATATAATGCAATATTTAACAGGTATAGAATTTTCAATATTTTGCTTATTGTATTCAAAATTCTCATATATATTTTTTTAATACGTCATTTAATTAGCGACAATCAAATGCATGCCTTAATGCAACAACTAATGCAAGCTATTATGTTGGCAACAAATGGAAATGTCGATGAACATTTAAAAGATGTGCGTTTGATACCACTACGAAAGTCCGCAAATGATGACTTTTATTTCTTAAAAGTTATAACCTATGTAACGTGCGTTCCTTTCGATGAACTGTATCTTGGTAGAGAAATGATTGTTTTTGAAGACGCTAAACTTTTTGAACAATGTAAAGTGAATTTTCTGAAAAAATACAATAAAAAACGTGCAAATACTTCAGAAATTGAAGATGAACATAAAAAATCTAATGTAAACAATTCCATACAAAGGAAAATGAATCCCGTAAACAATATTTTAACAGAAACGGATTTAATTACTTATTCGAGCGCTAATCCCGCATCAAATGTAATTTTTTTTTATTTTTATTTGTATTTTAAAAAAATGTTTAATTATATTTGTAACTATTTTCAGATGTACGTAGTGGCTAGTCTTATCGACAAACTACCAAATTTAGGTGGCATAGCTCGAACATGCGAAGTATTGGGCATTAAAAATTTTGTAATCAACTCTAAAATGCATATTGAAAAGCCGGACTTCAAAAATTTAAGGTTAGTGTTCTTATGATTGCATTTTAAATGAACACAAAAAGGTTATATTCATTTTATACGAATATTCGATGTGAAAAAGAAGTATAGGAAATAAATGCACATAGATTTGCTTTCATTTACCCTAACCTTTTTCCACGATTGCTTTTGTTTCTAATTTTGCGAGAAGACGAATTTTGCTTCTTTTGTGTAGGCCCAGGAAGCATCAGAGACTCAACAAAGTATATATATATTCTTGATCAGCATCAGATCCTAAATCGATTTAAGGGCGTTCCTCTGTCCGTCTGCCTAAGGTCTGTTGTAAACATTCTCCTGGCCACAAAAAAGAAGCTATCGTTTTCGAATTTGGCAGAAACATGATAGTTCTTGCACCAAGATTTGTCTTGAATTCGGGCCAAATCGATCAAAAAACACGCCCACAGCGCCACGTAATCTTGGAACACCTCTGTTTTTCAACTTCCTCCGCACTAATCCAGTATTATGATGATTAAAATTTAATTATTTTTTCAATACCTTTATAACGCGCAAAAACAAGCTTCAAGAAACTCATAAAGTATACAAATTCTTGGCCAGTTTCAAATCTTGAACATTTCCCACCGTCTGTCTCTCCATTTGCTTGTGTGCGCAACATTGTCGTATTTGTGATGAACATTTCCCCGTTAGCGAAAATAGAGATAACACCTACAAATTTGCAAAAGAATTTGAAATTGACCTGAACTTTTCAAAGGACACTCCTACATATGCTCTTACGGCAAAAACGTTTATTATTAAGATATAATCAAAAAAAGGAACTGCGTCCACTCCATGTTATAGAGCGTGAGAATTTTGTTCTTTTACTTCTTTTGTCTTTTTTTTTTTTTGGGGAGTAAGTGGGGTGATGATGGGGGTATAAAAGATAAGAAGATCCCGATCGAATTTAATTTTCTTACTTGTTTTCATTCTTTCTTCTTTTAATAAATATTGAAATATCGCATTTAACATGACAGCTGAGAAGACGTTAAACATTGCTGAAGTTCAACCAAAAGACTTGACTCTGTTTCTGCTGATGAAACAATTGCAAGGTTACAAAATTATTGGAGCCGAACAGACCTGCACTAGTGAATCTTTTCACACTTTTAAATTTCCTCAAAAATGTGTCTTGTTATTGGGGTAAATTACAAATGGTCTTTGTTTACATATTAAAATTTCACCTTAATTGACTACCACTCGTCTATTTTAGGCATGAAAAGGATGGCATTCCCGCTTCTTTATTGGGATTGTTAGATTATATAGTAGAAATTCCGCAATCTGGAAATGTTAGGTCATTAAATGTTCATGTAACTGCAGCTTTGTTTATGTGGGAGTATTGCAAACAACATATTTTATCACAAGCGATTAACTAAATTGCGTAACTATTTGATTTCTTAAGCACATATTCGTGATTAAGTGCGTAAACTTAAGTGGAACGTTTTTATTTTTAACATATTAAGCTAAGTGAATTATTGGATATGGAATAAATATCTGACCGACATTTTTTTATATAATGCAACAAAGTGTAAAATCAAAACAAAACTTTAAATGTTATAAATATTTCTTTAATATTTTATTGATTTTCTTTAAAATATTTGTTTTTCATTTATTACCATCGTGGAGGGTTCATTAATTTTTCCTTTTATGTTGATAGTATTGATACGTATCATAGTGTGTGGTGATCTCTGGAAATTTGTCCGCATATATTGCTTTCTCCGTTTCTTTTTAAAAATTGTCTTAGTATGGCTTAAAGTTTTTTCTATAACCGTAGCTTTCACATCAACCAGTCCGGGTTCGACCAAAGGCATTCCGATCAAAGTGAAATCTTTGCCTCCTGCTAACATGACTTTTTCTAAACTTAGTTGATCACCAATTGCCGGAGGCCAATAACCTTCTACTAAAATTATGTCGCCGGCCGTCACTTTAAATTGCTTGCCACATAAATGTACCACAGCAAAAAGTCGTCCCTCTTCATCTTTCCTTAGTTGTTGATTCACTTTATTAAATATATTTTCACATTGTTTGTCGTCCACATGGTCTATTTCTTTATCTTTTCTATCCTCTGTTGCTAACAGTTGCGCTGCTTGTTTTTGTTCAAAGCTTGGTGTAATGCTTAGCGATCTGATCGAATCTGAAATATTGGAAATAATGAACAAATATCCAAATGAACGAAATTTCGAAACCTACTCGTCAAGTTAGTGAGCCGACTTGGCTGACGAGATATCATAGTTAATTGTCGGAGTATGGACATTTTTGTAAATTTTCTTTAACTAATTAATAAATTCTTTAGTAACTAAACAGCTGATTTTGCTTTATATTAAATACGAGCCACACGTGTTAGAGAGAGAAACACAATGATGCGTTATTCCGCTTTGGGGGTAAGTAAGTCCCAAATGGTAAACACAATTAGAAGTTGCGTTACCGTTTTACTCCATAAGCAAGAGTAAAACAAATCTATATAAATGCAAAAAAAAAAATATGGCTTGAGAATTAAAATTAAAGAAATTAACATACATGTACCTAACAAATGAGAGGCAACATATAAAAAAAAGAGGTAAATGCAAATAAGTTTTCTGATTAATCAATCAAATAGGAAAAGAAAAAAGAATTTAAGAGAGTAGCTCGCATGTGGACTTTACTGACGGAGTTAAACCAACCAGAAGAATTTCTAAAATGTTTTCATTGGACAGATACATTTCAAATTGAAAGAAAATAGCTTTTATTGTTTTTCATACCCACCACTGTAAAATGGCGGTATATCCATTTTGTTTTTTTTTTTTTTCGTAATGTATGTAACACACAAAGATCCTACAAAGTATATATTATATATTCTCGATAAGCGTGGAATAAGGAGTTGATTTAGCTATGTGTGTCCGTCTATGTGTCTTTGCGCTGGTTTCTCATTGTCGTAACAATGAAAATATCGCCTTTAAATTTGGTAGAAACATTGGAAGTTTCTGTACACAAGTTGGTATTGAAAATGGGTTAAATTGTTCAGAGCCGAAGCACGCAGTAGAGCGTAAACTGAACGCAACTCAGTTTTTTTCCACAAAAATTTTTGGATTTTTACTCGTTACTCGGAAATTTTTAAAGTTCGAAGGCTAATAATTTCCACATATACTTTACGAAACACTCGGTCATAACCACACAAGGTTACGAGTAATTAAATTTTTTTTTTTCACTTTTTTGAGGTTTTAGGCTTATTTATCATAAGTCAAACAAGACTAAATGTTTAAAACTATTTTGTACATTCACAAAAGGAAGACAATTCGTCTGCTTAAAAATGGTTTCATTCTAAAACGAATATGATAGATACCGCTTTCGTTAATAATACCAGCGATAATCGGTGTCAAAGAAAAGAATTTGGAGAGTAGAATGCGGAAAGTGTAGTGGTGGGTATACGAGATTCGATCCTGCCGAATATAACTTTCTCACCTGTTGTCCATTTCTTGCAGTATACTATGGAGTATCAGAAAAACAATTCAAATCGTACAGAATTTAAGTAATTAAGCTTTAAATTTAAAGACATTGTCTTCATTTCTTCTTCTATGTTTTTTTTCTTTTTTGTTTTGTTTGTTTGTATACAAACAAAGCCATATGATTTTCCAATTCCCGCAAAGTCTCCATACGTTCTTTTTATACATTCGATTATGTAACTTAACAAGCCTGTGTTAACGCACAATGGATTTTGGAGAGTTTAGCTGTCACCGTTGCTTTGCAACATTTGCCAGGATGAATCCAGCCATGAATATCCCGCTTAAGTGTCAATCTCCTCTCCTCCTGGCTCTCGTGGAATGACCTATGACTTTTTGCGCTTGGAATTATCGTAATAGATGTACTTTTCATCGACAGTCACAGTACGCCAAACAAAAGTTTTCTTTTCTTGCCAGACAAGCAATGGAATAAATGGAAAAGTTGAAACGATTTGAAATGGCATTTTTAACCACAGTAGCCACTTTCCCTTTTATCTTTCCCTTCTTAAGTAAACATTTAGAAGCGCTTAATTCATCAACTGGCAAGTTATTCGAAGGTTTTTTGAGAGTTTGAGTTAGCTCTTCGTTGAATAAGTCATGCATTGTCTTCGACCTGCTTTGGATGTTCTTTATTATTGACAATTGGGCTACGATGGAGCAGCATCAATATAAGCGACTAAAAGTATATAATGGATCTCGGCAGCAAATTTCTTGAAATTAAACAAGAAAAGTATAAAAATAAATGACGAAAATGCAATTTTGAGCGTTCCTTGATTAACGTCGGTATGCAATGAGTCACTCAATAATACCATATGGAAAATTGTTTTTTTTAGGTAGACAAAGGTCAAAATGATCGAATTCAACTATTGTGTACATTGATAATTCCGATTACTTTACCATTTCCACTTACAAATGTCACTGATCCATGCAAGCATTTTCGATGTTTGTACACTATTCACTTGAAAACACAGAATTATGTATGTATGTTTCTGCTTTGTAAGCGGTTAACCGAATGGGACCTGATATCAAGAAGTCATTATCAGAATTCTTGTAATGAGAATGAAAAACTAAGCTGTCAAATGACTGCTAATTAACAGCACTACTGCCGTTGTTGTTGAAATTGTAATCGCTTTAATTTTGAACAAAATGTTGGGATATCTTATTATTTGGCTAACTCTGGGTAGGTCAACAATAAATTAACGCTTAGAGATAATATCTCACTTATTTTTCCCAAAATGATCCAAAATAAAAAAAAAAATGTTCTCTTTCTTATTCTCTCAGCATTGCTGCCTGTTTGTCTTGATTTATTAATCAATGAAGTATTTAAGTATGTACACTTCGCAACGAAGATTATATTTATGCAGTTTATGTAGACAGTTTATCGCATTTAATATTTCGTGTTTTATATGCGTTTGTATGGGAATTTTGCCGGCTGATAATTTCTGTCTGTAAAACATATTATATTTACATTAGGTTGACAGGAAAGTTCTGTTGTACTTTAAATAAAATATTTGAATTTGAAAACTCGCGATGTCCTCTTAAGCATAGCAGTTGAATGTTGAAAGTGGAATTTCTTTCCATATATGCATGCTGCAGGTTGCTCTCCATTATTGCCTAGATTGAGGTACTTTTTTGAGATTCAAAATCTCCGCAAGAAAACTTCGCAAACCATCCTTGACAATTTCACTTGATGACGTGTCACATAAGTTTTTTCAAGTAACGGATATGTCGTTTCCAGGAATCTTCTGGAATAGCAAATGCAAAATGCGAAGATCTGCACACAGTTTAGCTGAATAAAAAGGAAGAGAGATACCTACGGCTGATCCGTGAGCATCTGAAGTTGCCGTCAACTGCATGCGTGACCTGATCGAAGAGGAAAATGATTTTTACGAGGAGGAAGATGATTTTCGCTTCGCGCAAATACCTGAAGCAATGCACTTGCACATGCATTTTATTCACTCCGCACTTTGCGCACTAATTGATGAATGGCATTGAATTTTGTCCCCGACAGCAGATACCCTGCATAAGAAAATCTCAAATGTGACGCATTCGTACTTTTTCGCTTTGACCTGATAAGTAAAATTATCGACAGGTAGTAAGATACGATGAAAAATTTTCCGTTAACCTATTATTTAGATATCTATGTATGCAGTGTGCGAATATTCGCTCATTTGCTTCAAAAATCTACTTACTATCTTTGTTTATTATTCGTGCTATATTGCTGTTGTTCTTGTTGTTGGTGTGGTTGTTACCATTAAAACATTTTGTGTTTTGGTTTTGCTCATAAAATCGTGTGGGGACAATTGAAATTGGTGCCATTCGTACGCGAGCAGACGTCTAGAGCGGTATACGCGGTTTACAAGTGTTTGTTTTTTTTTTTTTGGTTTATTCAAAATTTTCGGTTTAATTTGTGGCAAATTTTTATTTCATTTCGTCGAAAATTTTCACAATACATGCAATAACTTCTACATTTTTAAATAAAACAAAATTATATAATCAGTATTAAAATATTAATTAAATATTTATTACATTTAGTTTGCTTTCAACAACAACAACAACAATAACAACAACAACATTTCTAAAGATAATGTAGAGCAAAATCTCTATATGTTGATATCTGCATTTCATTATATTTGCTTTTGCGCCTATGAGTGTTATAAATAAAAGCATAATCATTAAAAAAAAAAAAAAAAAAAAATCCAAAAATATTTTAAAAATAAATAAATAAAATTAGTTAATACTAAAAAAGCAAATAAACAAAATACATTGTTATATTTATGTGTATACATGATATTACGGCTGTTTTCAGCTCACTGCATTTTATATTAGTTCTGTTGTGGTGGTAAGAAAGATTCATATTATAATAAACAATAAAAGAAAAAAAAAAAAAAAACAAAAAAAACAAAAAGGAAAAAATAAATTCAGCACATATTATGTTCTTAAATAGATAAATTAATAATTTTAGTAATGTAAATAAAAGGAAAATGAAGAAAAGAAAATTAATATTGAATGACGGGCGATAATAAACAAAAAAAAAAAATAAATAAATAAATAGAAGTAACGGTAACAAAGAAAATCAATTTGATAAAATGAATTTTGAATATTGATCATCTCAGGTTAAATAATGCGAACTTTTGCATTTTTTTTCCTTATTCTATATTTTATCGCCTGGCGTAGCCGATTAGAGGGTCTTTCCGCTTTAGAAACACCTTGCAAAACGTACGTTTTCATTGATCTCTTTTCCAATTCGGTTGGAGCAATACATGTTCTGTTGTCTTTAGCCAGTGTTGCAAACACTATTTTTTTATTGCCAAATACGGAATCGAGTTGAGTTTGTTTCACGAATTCTCCTTTATGGGATGCTTTGCCTGACTGCATCATTCGAACTTTTGACCGATACTTCTTGTACGGAATAGTGTATAGCCATGAGCAAAATCTTTAATCGGTAATCACATTTTTTTAGATAACCATCGCTTTAAAAAGTCCTTAAGTGGTTTGGGCCTCTCTAAATCTCAACCTTAGTCTTTCATTTGGCTTGACTTTATTGTTGTAGTAAAGTTTTACTGTAAAATATGTCGATCGGCTTGAATAAAAAACTCGTAAACTCATCCTTTCATTGCCACGCAACTGTAAATTTGCATACATATTGAGATCAGCTCTTGGAATCTTTTACTTAAACATTTTCTTAAAGACACTTCAAGTTCAAAACTAGCGCTTGGACTCGTGTTATGAGACAACATTTGTATATTTTTTGATCTCGATTTCCCATAATATAAAGCTTTTCAAGTTAGTTTGCATAGTTCCAATCGCATTAAATTACAATTATGTAATACAACAGGTTAAGCTTACATATCTCTTGATGGATTATTTTATAAAATTTTATATAAAAGTCTTTGGTGATCATTAAGTGAAAAATTAAATTCTTGTCGACATTGTCGACATTCGAAATGGATGCGACATTATAATTGTGAAAGGAATTATTTTAAAATGTTTTGCTTTCGAAATTTATTAAATGTCACACATACGTGGACACAGAATATATAAAGTGTAGGCGTGAATTTTTTTCAAATTTTTTTTAATAAAATTTAAAATTATTTAACAGATACTATTATTATAAAGCAAAAAAAATTGCCATCTATTATTTTGTACGTCTTATAGGATAGCGTGCGGACGCCCTTGTGGTACGAACTTTGTGATTTTGGGGTGAAATATTCATCGATCCATTTTTGCACGTCTTCAAGTCTTCGAGTCATTCGTCTGCTAATTATGAGTGTATCGATCTCTGAACGGGTGGTATCCAGAAGAAGACAGTGCGAAAGAATAATTTGAAAAGAAAAGAAGTTCTTGGTCCAAGTGGAAAATCACTTCCTGGATTGCTTTTGATGTCAACGCGCAGACGGTCTTATGACACTTTTTGAGTTCCTTTGTTCCGCAAAACGTCTTTCTTCTTCACTTCGTCGTTGAATTTGATAAGTTGTGCTAGACATTGTTTAGATGTAACAGTTTCGTTAAGTGTTGAGAAGTTCGAAGCAGATGATTCCTTGCCAGGCCCATCAAACGGAACTTCAGAGCATCCTTAAGCATGAAATCTTTTCACGAATTCTCACAAATCTTTTTCATAGCTTATGATACCCAATCTTCTAAATGATACCCAAATTTCGCAAAAAATGAATACATCATGTACGCTTTATAAAGCAATTAACTTTAAGAAAGAGAAGGTAATATTTTTTTTATTATTCTCATCATTCGAAGGATGGGGTTTATGTTCACTTTATCAAAACGTTTGCAACGCCCAGAAGAAAGCTTCAGATAATCGACAAAATGTACATATTTTCGTGCTCCGCTTCAACTTGTAAATCTAAGTATATCCGTCTGTCCGTCTATCCGCTTGTCCGTCTGGGTAATGGCTGTCATAAACATTCTCCTAGCCGCATATATGATGCTGTCGGGTTCAATTTGTGAAAAATATTGAAAGTTCTTGCACGCAGGTTGGTATTGCAAATTGGCCAAATAGGTTGAAGTGTACGCCTACGGTACCACCTATGCTGAGAACATCTATATTTTTCAAAATAAATAAAAAATTGTTTTTTTTTGCTTATTATTCATAAACTATGTAGCAAATAAATGTATGAAAATTTGGAGGTATATTATAGGGAATCAAAATTTATAACGCGTAGGAGCAAGCTGCAAAAACCCCATAAAGTATACAAAATTCTTGGCCAATTTCAAATTTTACATGCGCCTAAGCATGACCGTCTGTTCGTTTGTCCAATCGTGTTGTATCCGTGCAAAAGAATTTGGAATAATGACCCAAACTGATCAACGCCCAGACGCTTAAGCAGCAAAAACTGTGAACACCTTAGCTTTGCTGGTTTTTTGTTTGGTATTCTGAAAATAGAAGAAAAACAAGCCATGTCTTTTCACTATTATAAGAAAATGAAAATGTAGGTCGTTGCCTTCTTTTTAGTCGGTGATGGAGTACAAAAAGACTCGGTCACGAAACATTTCATCCGTGCATTCGACTGTTACATACGAAACGGCAAAATCGTCATATGCTTATTTTTGGGTGATGAGCAAGAAATTCATATAACTATGCTTACAATGTTTGTATAAAAGATCATTTAATGCACAAATACACACACACACAAATGTATGCCAATTGAGTTACAAAAAATCATTGTTGAAAATTGAATTCACACACACAAATGTATGCCAATTGAGTTACAAAAAATCATTGTTGAAAATTGAATTCAATCTGAATTGAATGCGATAAGTCACTTGATGCAATGCAAAGTAGTAGGATATAGTTGTGTGAGTAAATTTTCGAATTTTCAATTTAATCTAATTTTCTAAGAAATTGATTAAATTAAAAACTGTAAATGAAACCGCAGTGAGTCTTTCTTTAACGTTTTTTTTTTGCATATCGCATAGATGCCATTTATATATATGCAGGCAAAATGTAATAGAAAATCATAATACGTATTTCTTGAGGAAATGCGTTGATTATTATTTTATATATACCGTTTAAAAATTTTATTATTTTTAATCTCCGATTCAAAGGATTTCACTTTTATACGATTTTAGAAAGAATAGAATAAGTATATTAAAGAGAACTTAAACGAAGAACCATTTCGAACCCTATTGATCTCGCTTCCTCATTAGCACCTGTAGTCGTTGTCATTCAGTTCAGCCGTTTACACCAAGCTACATTTGAAAGAGGGAAGCGTAAGAGTACAAACCTAGATATTTATTACTTGCTTATATAAGTTTCTTCAAACCCGGAATGGTTTTGTCGATTCACATTCGACAGTTGTGTGCCATGTTGCGACGTTTATGTTAAAATTTTTTGTTAGAAGCATTCAGTTTTTCCATTTCTCCCCCCTTCCCCCCATCCCCCCAACAAGCTGCCTTTCCTTGTTTAAAGAAAAAATATTATGACCCAATGATAATGTCAATGACATAAGTACTGTATATAAAATAGGCGATGGGAGTAAATTTCGATTCACTAATATTTACTAAACTTATTCGTGTCAATATTGTAGGCAGATAAGATAAGATATTTTCACTAAGTCTTCATAAAAAAACAAAAAAACAAAAAAAACCCATTTGCCATAATAAGCCCCAAATTTATCTAGAATAAATAATAGTGTAGGACAATGGACTCTCCTCCATCTTGCTATTTTGCTGATTAAAATGATTAACTTTTTTTTTTGTAGATCAAATACAATTTATTTTCAAATCCCTCTGATGAATGAGCAAAGAACAAAAAAGCAGATAAAGGTTACAATCACATGAAAAAAGTTCAGTTGTATAAATAGATTAGTTTTTATCTACCAAACCGTTTTTTTTTTTGTTTTTTTTTTTATTTATTAATTTTTTTTTTTTTTTTTTAAATAATTCCATAGGCAAAGTACGATTAAAAAATTCGTGCATTGGAATCATTCGAAATGTAAAGAAACTCTGTTTTGACTCTTTAATACTACGAGCAATTTTAAGTTATAAACTTTTAAATGCCGTTAGTTATCCTTAACTCGGTTTGATCTTCACTATTTATATAACTAAAACTATTCGAAAGCTGTATTCAAATTAAAAAAAATACATGTACACGCTTCGTTCCGCGCTCGTTGGTTCACACATTACAATGTCGAACAGATGTTAATTGGAAAAGAACAGAAAAAACAATTAGTTTAATTTATTCATTAAAAAAAAGAAAACTCGTTCTAAAGTCCAAACTTGATAGTGTTCGTCTATGCCCAAGTGACTACGTGCGAGACTAAGCTATAATTTGAAAATGACTTAATTCTTATCGATCGACTTTACTGTATTTCGATCCCGCTAACTGGTGATGTTAAGAAAAAAATTAAGGAAATAGGAGGAGAAAGAGAAAGCTCGTGCTTGTTGTCAACTTCTTGACGAAACTTATTAATGGTGAAGCGGCTTCTTCATTCTTACTAAGTAAATCGGATTTTTCATGTACACTATGAGGTTTCTGCAAATGTTATCGCATGGGTAGATGCTGGTCTCTTTTAAATACTGTGCAAAAATTTTTAATGAAAACTATCAGTTGCCCTACATTTCTAATCGGAATTGACGGACATTTTGATCATGACATACATACATACACATATATAAGAAGAGGTTCCTTTGCTCAGAATTGCTTCAATTTAAATCAGTGTCAATTGTGTCTTTTGCAAGTCGAAGGTCTTAAAATATCGATTGATATTTTCGAGGCAAAATAATGTTTTTACAAAAGAAGTATCCGCCTGAATGGACGAAGGCCAGGAATTTCGATTAGTGACTCAATGGTCGTGGGTACGCGGTAGACTTTTTAATAAAAGCCGA